AATTCAGGTAAAAAGACAATGAAAATGAGTTATAAAAGGTTTTCATATGTATGCTAATCTTAATACAAATGAAAACATACACATAAAATGCACTGATAAAACAACTCCAGTCACCTGCAGTGCCCTTGGCTAAACTACCTGAAAACTTAAAACATGATACCCATAAAATCTTAGTAGGGCAAATCTGGCTGAGTTTTCAAGATATAAAATCATTGTTTCATGGTGAAATTTTACAGCATTATTTAAACAGCTGTTAAATGGCTGCACAACCATTTACTTACAGAATCAGACATTAGTGACGTCATTTTTTGTTTCTAGTTAGATTTTGAAACATTAACAATAAAATCCTGTCTTTCTGAGAATGTATAACAAAGGAACTTTTTACATAACACTTTTTATGGGAAAACTATATTCTTCTGGCTGACCAGTTAAACAGGATCAACCCTACTTCTGGTCAGTTCAGTGTTGTTATATCTGCATTGTTCTTTACCAACAATAAAATTGGAAATTTTACAATGATCAGTTCAAAAAAAAATTATTGATGAGAACTGGCTGCATTAATGTTTATGAAAAAGCTTTAAATACTATAGCAACCATGAGCTTCTCAGAAATAAGTCTTTATTGCATCAAAATTTAGCTCCAGTACCTCTGCCACCATTTATGGATTGGGCTATTAAGTTTTCCAAACTGAAGATCAGTTTTTCAGAGATCTCACTGTAGGACTGTATCAAAGAATCATAGAATCAATCAGGTTGGAAGAGACCTCAAAGATCATCGAGTCCAACCCTACCATGGTTACTAGACCATGGCACTAAGTGCCACAAGGAAGGGAAGCTGTAGAGGGTGATAAGGTCTACCCTGAGCTTTATAAGCACTGTTATGGAGTTGTTATGATGTAATGCTAAAACTCAAAACCTAAAATAATATGTGTTCCAAGTAAAAAAAAATAAATTAAGAACTATTTTAGGGAGAGGTTTGACAAAAATCAACAAATAAATGACACTTCCATGCACCCAGAGTCAAAGATCATGAATACTTAGAGGGTGATAAGGTCTACCCTGAGCTTTATAAGCACTGTTATGGAGTTGTTATGATGTAATGCTAAAACTCAAAACCTAAAATAATATGTGTTCCAAGTAAAAAAAAATAAATTAAGAACTATTTTAGGGAGAGGTTTGACAAAAATCAACAAATAAATGACACTTCCATGCACCCAGAGTCAAAGATCATGAATACTCAAGCTGGGACATGAAAAACTCAGCATTAATGAGAACATAAAGTTGTGTAATGCACCATTCTCAAGCCTTTTCGTATTTCTTTCTACCTCAGCAGATATAAAACTATATTTAGAAAAGGTTTTAGGGACTAGAGCACAGGAGAAATGTTGTACCTGTAACCATGACAATTTCATTTCATTAAATGAGGTTTCACACTGGCACTGAAACTATTATGTACTTTAAAACTCCAATACTGGTTTTAGGGTCACACACCATTTTTGTGATGGCAATACAGTTTGTATTGCTGCAAGATTATGTAACTGTTCTTTAAATTGAATTTTGATACTCCCTGCAACTTTCTAATAGCATGCTTGGGAAGCATCCCACAAAAGATACAGCATCTGTGTTAAAGCAGATAAAGCCCAATTCTCTTTTGAGCCCTGAAACTATTTTAAATGGAAGTGGAAAGACTAACCGTTTTAGCTGGAGCAGCAAGATTTTCCATTTCTTCATGGGTCACCCAAACATTGCCTGAGGGCTACGGACAAGGCCCACAGGAAGGAAGGTGGGATCCATATTAGGTAAGCAGTGGTAAAGAAGAAAGGCAGCACCACTGTAAGTTAACAGCGCATAGCATCACCATCAGCACAACCACGTTCTTGCCTCTACCAAGCTGCAACTAGAGACAACTTTAGACAACTTGGTTTGTATCTTTCATTAGCAGATTCTGAACAGATGTGATGGAGTATTTCAACTAGAACTGATGGATGAAATCTGGCAGAGCACTGCCACAAAGGAAAGAATAATAATTAAAGGTACATTTCATAAACAACTGGCAAATACAACCCTTTAGCTCAGAGCTCTGTCTGGAGGTAAGCTTCAGCTCCCAAAGATTTTCCAGCCTAAATATTCTGCACACATCACATGCTCATATTGTAATCTAAATAATGATTTCTTCTGCCACTTTTCTGTAAATCAAAAATGTCAAGAGAATTCACTTGTAAAACTATTTTTCCTCATCCTATTGTTTTCTGTCAGATTCCCACTAGGACAATGAGGTGAGGCAGGGAGGGGATGTAGATGTCTGTTGTATTTTCTGGAGACGTAAATTAACTCCTTTCCTGAGAAAGAGAGGAGGCAGAGAGATGTGGGACTCAGAAATTCACACACCAGGGCAGGGTCATTTTGTGCTGACAGTTGCTCTGGGAGAATGAAAACAGCAAGGAAAAAGTATTTCCAATGTTTTTAGCTTGAATGTAATGTTTTCTCACTTCATAAGTGTAAATGCTTTTATGCTTTGAAATATGCTTTTATGCTTTTAAAATAAAAATTAATCTTATGCAGTAATTCAATGTTATGTTGAGCTTATACTGCTTTACTTGGGTAAAATGCATTATGAGTCATAGTATTACCATGGTTATGACACATAGAACTGTTCTCAGGGGAGAAAGTATCAGATGGGGAACTACAGTATTAGTAACATGAGGATAAAAGGCCAGCCAATAGCAGCATTAAAGTCCTATTGCTCAGCTGCTTAGGTAGCTCAGTGGATCTGGTATCTCAATTCTAATTTCTACCAAAAGATTCTCCATTAATTCCCTGAGCACAAGATATAGCGAAATATAAATATTATTATCTTACTATTAGAAATCTGAGCAACACCACATGAGTAGTGGTCTTCGTCCTTCACTTCTATGCCATTTCCAATCTGATCAAGCCTCTTTTTTCTTTTTTTTGGTTACAGTCTCCATTGCTTTTATAGTCGTGATGACTATGAAAGCATCACAGTTAACATATCAACATCTCACCAACTCCCCTTTTGTTATCTCATTTATTTTTCTCCTTATAAGTTTGACCTGTTGTTCTTTAATTTCCACTAAAAAAAAAGCACTAAAAGGTGATTTTTATCTATATCACATTCATTCCTACTCTTCACTAATCTATTTCCTTGCTATTTCTGATATGTTTATTCCCTTTTCCTTTGAGACTTGTATCTCTGAGTTTCTTTTTTACTTGCTTCTTTTGCATCTGCTGCCACTCTCTCTCCTGTCCTCACTGAATGCACACGCTCCACTTCTGCCTTCCAGATGCTCCCTTCACACCTCCAATCACTGCTTCTCTTAAAAGCATGAAGAACCTAAACCCAGCTGACTCAGATTATATAACATTTGAAAGGGTGCAAAAAAAGGGGAATGGGAACAAGGTTCAAAAGAGCCATGTTCCTATATAACTTCTCTCAACTCCTGCCTCCCCTCTGCCCCAAAAATACCTAACAAAAAAGAGAAACAAACAAACAAAGAGAAACACAATCTGATTTGGCTGGTCCAGATGACTTGAAGGAAGAAACTGGCAAAAATACAGAAAAAAATGACAAATAAGATGCTCAATACTAATAACTTTGATAACATCAAGAATAATCAAAAGCATAACTTAAAAAAAGTAAGAACATCTGATAAAGTAAAAGCATCAGCAATCAACAATCAAGCAAGTGGTGAGCAGATCATTCTAAGTCTCTGTAGGACAGTTACCACTGATAGCGATGTGTGTGTTACCATAGAGCCACTCTTGTACTACAAAGTCTTTCTGCAGACTCCTGCAGGATGAAGTGGGGAAGAAAAAGTTAGCTGAACAGGACTCACTGTTCTGGATGTTGGAGGTGCTGATGGACTTGTCAGTGATACCATCTCCTGGATTGCCAGTCGGAGTTTTAAGCGATGAAGAGGATTGCTGATTCCAATTTCTCTTTGAATCTCAGTATCAGACAAAGCAGACATAATAGCTCCACTCTTCACGTTGGCACGGCAGGCAGCAACATACCAGGCTGGCATGCCTAGCCACAGCTGTCAAGAGAAAGGACACCTTTCATCCAAAGCACTGCTTCATTTCTCAGATGAAATTAGAATCATAGAATATCCTGAGTTGGAAGGAACCCACTAGAATCATCAAGTCCAAGTCCTCCCTCTGCACAGGACAGCCCCAAGAATCACACCATTTGCCTGAGAGCATTGTCCAAAGACTTTCTTGAACTCTGTCAGGCTTGGTGCTGTGAACACTATTAATTAATTAATTAATGACCAATATTAAACAATTAAATCAATCATCAGGACACCTTATCAATCTGAACAAGCATGGCAACACACACAAATGTCTACGAATATAGCAGTCTTTAATAAAACAAAATTGTTTCTGAACCTTTGAAAATGCCATGGCTTCATGTGAACTCTCTTTTTTGCTTTTACTGTAACCGGAACTTTACAGCAAGGGATGCTTTGAATTATTTTTAGAACTGTGTTCCTCCATTCCAGGTCTACTCCTTTCCCAGGCTTTTAATGAGCAAGTTGTGTCACAAGCCACTGTTACTGCCTACTTGATAGTCTTACTATATACAGTAAACCATCTAAGAAGAATTAAGGAATTTTTTCACTTTTGTGTTAAAATGGCTGTCTCTCTTTCCATGTAAGTCCCCATGGTGTGCTCATAGGGCACAATCTTATGCTTCTCAGCTTTTCTTTTCTTTGTAGAAATGAAACAAGCACAGTTCAGATAATTAACCTAGCAGGGACAGAGTTTACAGCAAATTTAGGACCAGTCTGGTATCGTGTCACATCCCAGCTAGAAATACTGGTTAGACATTGTAGCAAAATGTGTGCACAGCTAAATCACCTGTGGATTTACTACCCCAGGTCAACAGCAGGCCCTTGCTTCACCACTTATTCTTTCCTTGTAAGAGGTACTCTCCTCTCCTAGAAGTCTTTCCTGACATCTCCTGAGTATGAATTATTCTTGGTTTTCTCAGTACATGCACTTGAAAAGCAGAAAAGCAGAAGTACTGAGAGTTATTCACCCTTCAGAAATTGATTCAAATGTTTGCTGCTCACTAGGCAAATTAGTTCTTTAACAAAATAAGTAAATCAATTTTTGAACAAACAGCTGTCTCCACCAGAAAATGATATTCGATGAACAGTCTCTAAAAAGACAGCACAGTAATCATTCTAGACAGAGAACCCAGATATCAGGACTGATACACCTTCCCAGAATTAATTAAGAAAACCCAAAATTCTTAAAATATATCTCAACTATGTCTGTGCTACATACAAACCATCAGAATAAATGCTAAGGCTTAAAGGTTAGGCCCTGAAAAGTTTGAAAATGTCACAATTGCGATCACATAAGCTTTTTAAATTTGAGCCTTTGCCTCCTTTAATATTTATTTTGTTCTTTAGTCAAAGTGTCACATATTATGTTTTCCTCAGGAGAGTATGAAACACACACAGTGTCCATCTGCTGAATGAATGCACTGATGCTCACTGAATAAACATCTTCCTCATATCTTTTTATCATCAGCATTCAGTGTGCATCAAGTACTGCAACAAACTCCCTCATGAGCTTTCCTGTGCTACTGTCATCATATTCCCCACAAAGTTCAAAGACCTCAGTTTCTCTTTACAGCCTGTCTCGGAGACAGTGGGAAGCATATCCTAATTTTCAGCTAAGAGTCAAAGGAAAAAAATGTTAGGGTTTAACCTGTCAAAAACATCTTCAAATTGTGGATCAGCCTCAACAATATCAAGGGCAGACCTTTCTTGGTATTCAGAAATTTTTAGACTTTTGTATGTTCAGGTTTTCAGCAAATCAGCTTTGACTGTAATACTGAATACTTCTGAGTGACACAAATCTGGTTACAGAACTCTCAGAGTCATATGATAAAAGTCAAGTAGTGGCCAAATTAAGGTTTGTTCCATATTTACAGAGATATTTTTTGGGAAGAAAGATATCATCCCATTTTCCAAGGTCATATGCAAGTGCTTGAACTGACTTTCTGCAGTTTTCATTTGATCTTTTTCATTAGGTACCTTCAGGAATGCTAATATGAAGCAGAAATTTTGTAGACATTAGCTGCTTTCATTCTCATCTTTCATGTATTCACTAACATTCCTGTTAAAGCTTTGGAGAGGGATCTTTTTTTCCCAATTGAAGTGAAAAACTCTACAAAGTCTATCTGATGGTCAATGGATGATATCTACAGGAGACAGGAGAAAAGGGTATATAGAGAGGTGCTTGGTATAGTAAGAAATAGACACTTGTTCCTTGAGGCAACCAAGAGTTTAGAACACCACTGAAGTGTTACAGCATTGCTTTGTAAAAGTAACTGTGTATTTGTATAAAAATATTCTTACTTTCTGCCTTGTCCTTCCCTCAGCATCTGCGTATTTTTTAAATGCATTTTTTTGGAGCAGATTCTCATGGATGCTATGCTTAGGCACATGAAAAGCAAAGAGGGAATCGGCAATAACCAACATGGCTTTACCAGGGGCAAGTCACGCCTGACGAATTTGGTGGCCTTCTATGATGGGGCCACTGAAAGGGACAGAACAACTGATATCATCTACCTGGACTTATGCAAAGCATTTGACACTGTCCCACATGACATCCTTGTCTCTACATTGGAGAGACATGGATTTGATGGGTGGACCACTCAGTGGATAAAGAACTGGCTGGATGGTCACATGCAAAGAGTTGTGGTCAGTGGCTTATTGTACACATGAAAACCAGTGACAGGTGTTGTCCCTCAGGGGTCAGTGCTGGGGCCGATACTGTTCAACATCTTTGTTGGCGGCATGGACAGTGGGACTGAGTGCATGCTCAGCAAGTTAGCTGATGACATCAAGCTGTGTGGGACAGCGACATGCTGGATGGAAGGGGTGCCATCCAGATGGACCTTGACAGTCTTGAGAGGTGGGC